TATGCATATCGTCTTCAAACCCGTCTCCAGGAGTCGAATTCTCTGTTATTATCTGGTAAATTGTTTCAACAATATATGGTGAATGCATTTGCGGTAATTGAGGCTGAACGCTTAGACTGGATGCGTACCCATCAGTCGAAGCTAAGAGGACACTACTACAAGGATTTGTTGAATTCTTATTTGCGAGGGGATAGTGATATCAAGCTTTCTGGGAAGCCAGTAATTTTAGCTGCCTCACACACTGGTAATCCAAGATACAAGTATGAAAATTTTCAGGATGCGATGGCTATTTGCAAGTGGATTGGTTATCCTGATTTGTTTATAACATTCACTTGCAATTCTAACTGGCCAGAGATACAGTTAATGGTTGATTTGATTAGAAGGTAGAAGGTACAGTGGCAAAGATCCTGACCGGGCTGACATCACCGCCAGAGTTTTCAAAATCAAGCTTGATGAGTTTTTGTTAGAGATTCGCGAGAAACAAATATTTGGGAAAATCAATGCATGTATGTGTGCTTATTTATTCGTTATTTATCTATTAATGTTCATCCATTACTCTCTTACCTCATTGAACTAATATTCCTTTTCCACTATTTGCATCTTGTTGTATAGATGTCAAAGCAATTGAATGGCAAAAGCGGGGTCTCCCTCATGCACACATATTGCTTTTTTTGGCCTCGGAGAATAAATTCCATGGTCCTGCGGCTATTGATTCCATAATATGTGCTGAAATTCCGGATCCTGATCTTGATCCTGAACTATATGCAGTTGTCACAAGTTCAATGATGCATGCCCCGTGTGGTACAGTACGTCCTAATAATGTGTGCATGAAGAATGGGACATGTAGTAAGCATTACCCCAAGGAATACTCTTCTCAAACAACTATCGATGAAACTGGGTTTGCTAAATATCGTCGGCGGAACAATGGTAGAGTTTTCAACTGTGGCGGGGTTGATCTGGATAATCGATGGGTTGTACCCTACAATCGATATTTGTTACTAAGATTTGGAGCGCATATCAATATTGAATATTGTAACAAGACAAGGTATGGCTGAAGTAAATCGTATTTATCTATATGACTTGCATGTTATTTGTCGTAATACTCAACTAGATTAGATTTGTGATTAGTAAAATTTCATGTAAGTATTTTTATCTTGATTAGCTAATCTTCAAATGTATCCTCCTCATCCTTACAATACGTGTGTGAATGGTATGCTTTCTCCCTTAATTAAATAATGACTTTATTTCTAACTTATTATGAATGTTCATTCAAATTACATGTTCCTCTTCAACGAATTGCAAAATTGCAACAATCTTATGATAATATAATACAAGACTCAATTCTCGACACTACCATTATATATATTATAACTCCATTTTCCTTAAACAATTGCGGCCAACGGGCCGGGCTATAGGCTAGTTGTTAGTATAACAACACTATAAGTATTGTTATACTATCCGGACCCGAGGAATTTGCGGTGCCTGGATTCCCCGTTGGTCGCCGATTCCACCCCGTTGCATCAATTTCCTGAGGAAGGCCGATGGAGAAGATCTGTGGTCGACATTCTTCCAGCCCCAAATTTCCAAATCCCTAGAAAAATCTCATGGGTGGCTCAGCAATTCCGCGGAAGCAATCGAGCCCCTTGGATTCGAGCTTCTGCATAAGGTACGAGGAGGATGACCATGGCCGCCTAGCATCGACGGAGAGAAAATTCTCCACTGCTTGTCTGCTGGAGCTGGAATTGTGCTTGGATCTGGAGCATTTGAGGCTGGGTAATCTGGTTTAGACCGAGGGAAGAAGAAGGGAAGGAGACTTAGGGGTTGTAGATCGAGTACCCTTTTAAAATAAATTGGGTAGAGCTCGACTAAGATTCAGGGGGGATTGGATATGGAGGTTGCTTTCTGGAAATGGTGATTTGGGGAAGATGGATTACTGGAGGGATTTGCGTATCCTATCTTTTTTTCATGCAATTATAATAAGAAGTGGATGGATGGATACTAAAAAAAATTATTTGAAATTTGTAATCCTTCATTTTAGAATTTTTTTCGCTTTATCTTCTTTCATTTTTTTCTATTATTTTTTCATTCCCTAAATCCACGTGTATTTTCATAAACAAAATTGGCAGGAAGTGCTCGCCACATCAGCATTTTCGTTTGTTCAGTCAGACTTAACGCCAACACTGTTAAAGAATTGGACGGAAATGGCTATAAGTGGTATTTCTCCAAATTTGGCTATTATTGACACAAACGCGAAAGTTTTGGCTATACAAGTGTATTTTGCCTAAAATATACCCGAAACCTCATAAAGCAAACAAGAAAATGTAAAAAGCACACTGCAAAATATTACAAAGCTCACCACACTACAAAAATCATAAAGTAAATTAGAAACCTCATAAAGATGACCACAAGTTTCATTAAACAACATAAAGAACTCATAAAATGCCACAAAACCCACAAATAGTACACGTTTCTTGAAGCAGACAAAAAAACTCAAAGTTGACTCTAAATCAAACGAAACAACTCATAAAGCTTACCATAAGTTCCCTAAAGCAGACTAAAAAACTTCTTGTCCATACCAAAAAACTTCTCGTACAGACTAGGTCCCTAATGAAGCATGCTAGAATTATGTGGAACCACTTCACAACTCTCATGAATCATGCCAGAAAGACGAGAATCCACACCAAAACATCACAAAACGAACTAAAAACGATATAAAAGTACACAAGAAGCGGTAAACACAGTGCAACTCGCAAATATATTAGAATCGAATTTTGACAATCCAACAGAATTAGGAGTATAAAGGAGGACGTCTGCACGCAGGAAAAGCTTCGCCGACAGAGCGAGTTTAGAGGTCACGAGTCGACGAAGCGAGGCGTTTCCATCAATAGAAACTAGAGAGAATGGGACTTAACCAAGATAATGCAAGAGAATTAAGGGTTTCATTGACGGTCGTCAATGTGAAGATGTGAGAGGCTGATCGTTGCAGTTTTCACGGCGAAGAAAGGAATACGTTTGGAAGGAAATTGAGAGGGGTTTGACTTTGACCGATGCATAGCACCTGTTACCAAAATATCCCTTAATATTTAAAAACTGTTTCGATCCCTTCCTCAAGTTGTCTTTCCCGGGACGATCAAACCAAAAAATATGACTTTAAGGTGGCAGTTTCCACCTTCTTCTATCTGTTCAACAAATCAAATTGCCCCGGGACAAAACTGGGAGGAGAAGGGACCATAGTACCGAGGAATAAGGTCGTCTTCCTTCCTCGGTAAAGGTAAAGTCTGACTTGCCATGTAATTTTAGTTTCGAAAATTTGATTGTCTTCGAGCAAGTCCTAGGAAGTAACGTATGACGGTTATGTTCGATAGTCATAGTCTTGAGAGTGTCGGACAAAGTGGATATGTTCGTGATGCTGCTATGTTTGGTTTGGTTGTGAGAGGGCTTTTTGAATTTGTTGGTTTTGGATCAAGTTTTTAGATCCGCTCATGCCTGGTTCACTGTTTGCTTTGCTTTTTTAATTTGCTGGTTTTGGATCAAGTTTTTAGATTTGTTGATGATTGGTTCACTCTTTGCTTTGCTCTGCTCTTCTTGAATGTATCTTTTAAGTATGGATTGGTTCAATCATTTACTATGAGCCAACTTTTTTTATTCGGTTACGTTTTGGTCCCTTCTTGTAACCGATCATTTAAAGTACAATCCAAGTCATTCCCTACAAAACAAGCAACGCATTTACCAACTTCCAATACTACAAGCACATGAAAGTACTGATATCTAACATTGAACACCATTGGGATATAGTACGAGCCCTAAACCAAAGTATTTTAGACTGTCTACCATCATCAATGCAATGCATGCCTCACATGACATCCCTGCTCTGTTTTTCTCTCTGCCCCATTTCTTTTGGCTTATGCAAACGATTTATCAATTTTCTTGTTGGTTGCATGAGACTTTGAGTCAATCAATACCCTTCCTCCAAATCTTGGGAAAATCAGAGGGGGAATTAATGACGTGAGTTAATACGGAACCACCCAACATTACATTATCTCTCTGTTTTCTGTCTTTTTTCTTTCTCCATACTCTGAGTGGGTCTGTACTTTCTGGGCTTTTCCTTTCAAGTTTGTAACTTTTAGGCAAAGCAGTAAGTACGAATACGATTCTGTGTTGTGGTAAGGAAGTGGATCCAGATTGGGCAATGTAGTTAGGGAATCTCGTTTCTGTTTCAGCTGTGGTGGCCACTGGCCAATGAGAGTGGGAGTCAGAAAACCTGAAAATGAAGAGGGAAAAGACAAACCAGTTTTTACGAATCTAGCTCATGTTATGGGCCCGTGAGGAGAATAGCTATTGGGCTTTGGACTAAAATGAATGGGTGCATTAGGTTTGAATGGGCTTGCATATATATCCTCAAGAAGCTAGCTTGTGGCCTCCTCAAGAAACGCTACCATAGAGACCAGACACCAAATGAAAGGTGATTTTATTTTTAGCGTAACAAAACGGTTGAGTCATAATTCAATCATGGTTTTAGTACAAAATACTTTATTACTAACTTTTTTGTGTGTGATTTCTGGTAGAGTTTTCACCGTCATTGTGTTACACTACATATGGCTATACGAGAGTGGATCCTTGGTGTATCAAGTGTACGTTTATGGAGTTGAGTTATTATATTGGAGGCAAGTCACAGTAGATGATATCATTATAAGTCGTGTCGATCGATGTGTTCTTGATATCGCAAATTTCGAAATGGAGCTTACCATGCTTGCTTGACCTACATTACATATGGAAAACTATGTATTTGTTAGTTTTATGTTGGCCGATGTAAATGTCATTTCAGATGATCACTCATTTGAACATATGTCAAATTCAGATAAACTGAGGTGATGTGTTTGAATTACAACGTTGATGGTCAACTACGAAAATTGCCTCAAATATCTATATTTTCATTCCAATTTTTCATTGTTCTACGATCTTCTTCGAATTCTTTCTCGAATAAAAAAACACCATAAACCCTAGATCATATATCATCGATCAAGTGGAAATACACAAATTCTACAATATTCTTGGTTCCTCTTAATTACATAGTTACTAATCGCAATATTCATCCCAATCCAATTGTATTTGTCAAGCTAGTTCCAAACCCAAATATCCCGATTTATTTCGTTTTATCTTGAATATTTGGATACTCGAAATTTTCACGATCGAACCAAGAACATTTGTTTGAGGTAAATTAGCAACTTTCGACATTCTTTGGTGACAACTGATCCATTATTTTCGTTGTAATGTTTTTGTGTGATATATTTGTATCGGTACAGGAAGCAGGTTCGATAGATCTTTTCAAATGGATCAATTATCGCTTATTAGTGAAGAAGCAGCTGAGCTCAATGGACAAATTGCAGATATTTTTCGAGCTTTAGCGTAAGCTGACTTTTCTTTATTTTATAAGTTTATCCTTCATTTTGATTCACATTGCTTTCAAATTGAAATCATGAATGTGTTTATCAAAGGTCTAATAATATTGGATTTTGTTTTTGTTTTACATTAAGATGTTTACCAATATTTTGTTAGAATAAAATTGTTTTTTATATGTTCATATGATTATGATAACTAAACACATTTTATATCTTTCAGAAATGGATTTCAAAAGTTGGAGAAGGTTAAAGATGCCAATAGGAAAAACAGGCAATTGGAGGAGCTTACAGATAAGATGAGAGAATGTAAAAGGTATGTTAAATATCTATTGTTAATTACTTCACTTTTACCCTTTAAAACTTAAATAATATTTCACAGAATCTTTCCTTTTATTGTTTTATTACATAAATGCTTTGCATTATTAATATTACCTATTTACCTTTAGGCTCATCAAGGAGTTTGACAGAGAAGTCAAGGATTTGGAAAGCAGAACTGACGCTGTGACAAATAGAATGCTAAGTGAGAAAAAACAGTCAATGGTAATTAGTGCTTTTATCTTTTAATTAGTCTAACTCTACTGGGTGACAGTCATAAAATTTTGATTTCTGAACCATTTTGAAAGTTCATTAGTAATTTTTTTCTTTTAATGCAGATTAAGGAATTAAATTCTTATGTTGCTTTGAAGAAACAGTAAGTTCGTATTTTTACATTGTTAAAAGTAATACACAGTCACTAAAAATAGTGATACGATATGTCTGCTTCCACATCTCTCAAAGACTATTAGTTCTATTGTTATTTCATTTTGATTATGACATTAATATAGGTAAATTGGACCCAGGTTTGACAATGGGGTTATTGAAGATTGAATTTTATTTTCATTTGATAAATCATCAATAGATTTCTTAATTGTTAGTTTATGTACACAGACATACTACCAATATAGAGAAAAAGAAAATTGATCTTTTTGATGGACCTAATGAAGGAATTCCTGAAGACAATGTACTCCTTGCTTCAAGTAAGATGTTCCCTTTCCTATCTAGATAGACATTTATCGAAATTGAAAAATTTTATCGATCAGTAGTTGTTGTTAGATCATCCAACGTAAGCTGATTAATCAGATAAACGATGACATATTTGACAAAACTACTTGATCATTCCAACTCTTTTCTGCATAGTATGAGCCGCAGCATTTGCAACTCGGTTGATGTAAATCTAGGTAATGGAAAATATTGTTACTTGTTGCCATTACTTCCTTTTTTCCCCATCTTTCCTTTTCTTTCTCATAAAAAACAGTGATAATTTGGTCTTCATTTTGGTGACACATTTTCATAGATAGTGTAATTGCTATACAACTTTTAGCACCACCATTGTAGGTACTGTCTAATTGTAGAACATACCTAATACACTCCATCAGACCATCACCAAGTAGTTTGGTTTGGCTTTAGAGCTTAGTTAGATGAGCTTCAAATCAGTTAGCAATTGATGTATCACTAATCAATAATCATTAACTAGTTGTTTCATATTGTCCTTTATTTGTTTGTTAACAAAGCAAGATTTATAAATTGTTTGTAGCCATGACAAATGAACAATTAATGGACCGCGGAAACAAACTGATGGATGAGACTGATCAATCGATTGAAAGGAGCAAAATGGTTAGTCTATATCCCCATATCACACTAACCGTTCAAAATTCCGATGCAATAATGTAACTTTTATTTATATAGATTACACAAAAGTTATCTATTTTGTTATTAGGTGGTTCAAGAAACCATTGACGTAGGAACGGAGACTGCTGCTTCTCTTAAAGCTCAAGTATGTAAATTACGAATAAGTTCTCTAATGATTTCTGATAATTATAGGTTGATCATGTGAATTAATCACCTATTAATTCCAACATTGTTATGTAACGATAATATTTCCATGTCCAGACCGAACAAATGAGCATGATAGTCAACGAGCTAGATTCTATCCATTTCTCGATGAAGAGAGCTTCTAAACTGGTGAAGGAAATTGGTAGGCAGGTCAAGCTCTGCGATTTTACCCCTTTCGATATGCGTTTTTATTACATAGTTATCGAATTTTCTCAAACCAACATTGTTTGTATTACCAGCTTGCAACTGACAAATTGATTATGGCAATGCTTTTCCTTATTGTCATGGGAGTGGTCATAATCATCATTGTCAAGGTAATTAGTCAATTAGGCATCTATAACCACAATATGATCATTTATAATTTTCAGTTCATTCATTCCTGTTGTCTTCCTTTCTTAATATCTTTTTTCCAGATAGTGAATCCCAATAACAAGGATATCTCAGATATTCCTGGATTAGCTCCACCCGCACAGTCTCGCAAGTTGCTTTGGCATGAAAAATGACTAATTGGAAGAAGAAGAAGAAGAAGAAGAAGAAGAAGAAGAGGTGTGTTGGTTGTAATTGCCTCAAGCACTAGAGACCAGAGAGCTTGACTATGTATCACTATCACTATGAAGATATGTCATTATGAATGCCTTTGCCTAGGGTTTTCCTTTTATGATTACATTGTCCTATGTCTAGGATTTTGATACGATTCGAAGGAAAATAATTCATCGAGCTCGCATATGATTTGAGACAATTAAATTTATTTGTTTTTTTTTTCTTACAATTAAATTTATTTGTGATGTGAGTATAACAGAACTTATCCGGAACAAATAGAACTCATGTAGCAATAGGGATTAAGGTGATCAAAGTCGAAAGGGTATAACATATTAGGAAAGGTGCTAGCTTGTACGAAAGTTCATTAAAATCGTTGAGGTTAAGACTCTTTAAGTTAAAACCTTGAAGGTCAATTTTGATAGCACTCAAACTAGAACCTTAGTGCCCGTTATAGTTCAAGATAAAGGCCGATGAATTTCCTACACAAGATATCTCTTTTCCATCCAAAGTATAGTTTGTGCAATATGAAGGAGAAGGAAGAGAAAAAAAAAAGAGTTTGTAATGATTACTTATCACATTGCCAAGAGAGAGAAAAAAAAAAACAAATATCAAACTCATTTGTACAAATTATATAATAATAAACAATTCATAATTACTCGAAGTTCAATTTGAATATTGAAAAATGAACATGTATTAAGATTCTTATAGCGAGATAATCAACACGCGACAATGACCAATAACTACAGCATAACATGGATAACACAATTTCTGAAGGATCTTTCATAGGTTAGGCCACGGTCGGGCCCTAGTGAAACATTGGAACCACAACATGTGAAATCAGCTGTTCAGAGAAAAATAAACAAAGAAAGAACAAGGAAGGAAGAAGAGGAATAAAAGAAAGAGTTGAAAGTTCTCAAGTCAAAACAGTCTTCTTGGTCTACTTTCGTGTCTCATTTTCTCCACAATTCGGATAGAATAATACCATTTTCCACATACAGATTTATTGTGTTTATATATGTACGACCCATGAAATTCAATTAATTAAGCATTATGGAACCTTCAGTTGATCACTTCTGAGTTCTGTCCTTATCATGTTGCATAGAAAAGAAAACCCTACTCGACCAAACTGTAAATGAGAAGATGGGCCATCTTTTCCCAAAATTGAAGTCCAGACTGGAAAACCGGAAAAAAGGAAAAAAACAATACATGGAGAATAAATAGGCAAGCACGATAGTATTGAATTATATATACCAGTGATCAGACTTTAATCGAGCAAAATGAACATTTATTTATTCTAAATATACCCTTAATGTTTTCAATCAAAGAGGTTCCAAGTTCGAATGTTAGGGTGGATGGGGATGAAGTTACAAAATCGGATATCAAAAGGGGTGCGGATAGTATAACAACACCCTTAGTGTTGTTATACTAACAACATGATTCATTAAGGGTATAAGGGTAAATTTATCTAAAATCTAATAAAATAAAAATTAAATTATATTTAGCCTACCCACCCCGTCCTCTTCACACTCTCGTTGGATCTCAGTTCTTCTTCGATCTTCCCACTCTCCTCGGCCCCCAACGCAACAGCTCCACCGCCCACCTCCACCGCGTCCAACGAGATTACGGACATCATCACCAACTGAGGAGTTACCGGGCGACGACGGCGATTACGGAGCAGATGCGGCGGCGTTGGATGCCATTGATGTCGCTGAATTTGGGAGAGAAGGGGGATGGGAGTAGCGCGGTGGCAATTTCTCAGGTCAAGCGAGAGGTGGCGGTGTTGGACGCACTGTTTTGGGTTTGTGGACTTCGAATCAGCTAGCTCCATGGAGAAAGCCCTTGAGGGTTTTTTCTCATTTAGTGAATCCGGACAGGTTTTTGCATTTGGGGGGATGGGGAAAAAGAAACAATGAGGGCCGCTAGGCTAGCTTTCCCTAAACAATGAGCGCCATCGGATTCCGGTTGTTCGCCTATTCCCGTGACGGAACTGTCGGAAATTCGGATTCTACCGCTGCTAGAGGGTACGTGAACGGAAGCAGCAGAAGGCTCCGCAACCATGGCGGCACCGGCTGCAGACGACTTCATTGAGGCTCCTATGTTGCCTCGCTGCAGTTCGTATCTCTCAAATTCCTAGAGATTCGCAACAATGGTGGTACCAGCTGCGGCCTGTGTTGTGGAAATTCATTCAAAGGCTTTCCGCGGACTAATGGTCTATGCTTCAATTGCTTTTCTTCCTCTCCATCTCGTTTCTTTCTTTCATTAGTACTCCAATTGAATTTGTTTTTTCTAATGACAATTTGAATGGACAGTGAAGAGAATCATTGATCCTGGGAAAGCTATTTTCAAGTTTTAAGTTGATATTTGTGATCTATCTATTGAGATGTGTTGTTTAATTTTGCTAATTATAGAGTGTACTTGTGGTCATATGTAGTTTGGTGTCATTGTGTCAAATGGGGTTGTAGCCTTGTAATAATTTTGTATTTATTTGTTAGTTATCAGCACCATAAACCGCCTAATATAAATTATAAACGCAATAAAAACAACTACAAAATGCATATAAGAAACCTCATAATGCAAACCAAAAATCCCCTAAAACATACCAGAAACCCCATAATGCACACCACAAATATTCCGAAAGCACACCACAAACCCCCTAATGCAAACCACAAACACGGTAAAGCAAACCAAAAACGTCCTAATGCAGACCACAAATATATTAAAACAAACCAGAAACCTCGCAAAGCAAACCACAAAAGTTTCGAAAGCACACTAGAAACTTCTTAATGCAAACCAGAAACCTCCTAATGCAAACCACAAATCTCCTAAAACAAACCACAAACCTCTCAAAGCAAACCACAACATTTGTGAAAGCACACCAGAAACCTCCTAATGCAAACCACAAACACAGTAAATCAAACCACAAAAAAGCAAACAATAAACGTCCTAATGCAAACCGCAAATATATTAAAACAAACCAGAAACCTCACAATGCAAACCACAAAGTTTTTGAAAGCAAACCATAAACTTGTCAATGCAAACCACAAACACGATAAAGCAAACCAGAAACTTCTTAATGCAAACCACAAACACGATAAAGCAAACCACAAAAGGCATACGAAAATATGAGAAACCAAACAATAAATATCACAATGTAGACCATACATCCGGTCTTCGTTGACCGTTGACCGAACTCCGGTGACCGTCAGTGAGCAGATTCCGACGCCGATAGGCATATTCCGGCCCCGATGACTAGAGGACGCCGGTAAGCATATTCCGACACCGGTAAGCATATTCCGGCGACAAAAAGCATATTCCGGTGACCGACGACCACTTTCCGGCGACCGGTGGCCGAATTCCGGCGACCAAATTTTTGGGCAGAAAATAAAAAATATGTTTATTTTTTTTTTTATTATTTAAACAGATTTTTCATAATAACAATTATACCCCTGCTTTGATTTTACACTAGGTCAACTCATCTAATAAAAAGTCATCACAATCCTAGCTTTCTATTGGTTGGAGACTAGTGTTGTTACAATAACAACACAAGGGGTGTTGTTATAGTAACCGGTCCCTATCAAAAGTGTCATTTTGCTTAACTTAATTTATTAAATTATATAACTAAAAAATTAATGTTCAAATAATTCATTTGCAAAAAAAAATAACAGGGTAATACAAACTTCATCCTTATAAACAACTATGATGTATATTCTAATAAAATTATAAGGAAATTTGTTATTCATACTTTAAGTAAGTATTTTTAATATATTTTTTATAATTCTTTCAATATTTCCCACTCATTATCACACACAAAATTATTATAATCTAGTGGCCAAAACTTCTTATATTAAGTGCATATCCATTATTCAATCACATAGACATATACTAGAGGATCAACAAATTTTCATCAAAATTTTTAGGCGACAGTCACTGCAAACTCGGTCTACAAGAGTTAGATTTTCAAAAATTCCTTATAAAAATTCAAACATATACATTTTTTCCCCACACACTGAGTTAATATTTTATGATTTTGTTCTGACATTGGTAGAACAACCATCACAGATTCTTATTTCTTAGTAGCATGAGAACATTAGCCAACCTATCAACAAAGTTACTTTTAAACATATTGAAATGTTATGTCGAGAAATTTTATAATATCCTGATGGAATATATATAGTTAAATACACATGATCTTAGTCAAAAGGTTGTATATATAGTTAAATACACAAATTTGTAATATAGGCGACAATATACTCATTCATTATTTTAAGTATTAGAATCCTGACTAGTTAAGTAAATAAAAAAATTATGGGGTGATTTGGTTTTGGTGATAGTTTGGATGAGATAGTTATATAATGTATGTATTATTTTTTTTAAAATATTTTGTACAAATAATAAATGCAATGTTTGCTTAATATGATATAAACTATCACTTAAAATGAGTGACAGTTAAAACTCAAATTTTTTATTATATTGTTGAGATAGTTTAGCTGAGATTGTAAAAAAAAAATTATTTCAATTATGTCCCTACAATTTATGTATAATGTTTTTTTATAATTATTTTTTATTTTTAAAATAAAAAATAATTATTTCATAAAAATAATATTATTTATTTAAATATTTCAATAACTATCACATAAACCAAACTATATAAATGATATATATTATTATCATCCAAAAACCAAATGAACATGCTAACGTGTCACGAACTCACGATGATAGTAAAGGATTGACCGCATTGACAATTCGCAATTGTCCACTTCCTTCCTCCTCTCCTATCGCCAGCCATTTCCGCCTTCTTCCTCTTCCGGTTCATACACGCCAGCTTCACTACTCCGTACTCCCAAATTTCCCTTCCTTTCCCAGTTCTACTCCGCGTTTGCGTAACCTCAAAGTAGTATTCTAACCATTTCCAGCACTCCGGTCATTGTTTTTCCATACATGCCCCCAACCTTAAACCCTTTTTGAGCTCTCTCTTCTCTTTCCTACCTCACTTTTTTTCCCCACCCAACAAACAGTCCTTCCATGCTTTCCCTCCGTTCCCACTACAACAATTTCTCTCCTGCTTCCTTTCCCCTCATAAATCCCCCACCTTCCCTTCCTTCCCTCATCTGGGTCTCACTCAATTTCGAGCAAAGCGAGCAGCTTGTTAGGTTTCCATAGCTAGCTCCCCTGTTTTGGCAAAGATGACGTGCTTCCCAAAATTCTTCAAGCACAAATCGAAGAACAAGAAGGAAGGGTCCAGCTCGGCTCCGGAGCTGGGGAAGTCATCGGCGAGCAATTCGGCGGCGGCGGCAGTGCGTTCGTCGAGATCTCTGCCGTCGCCGAGAGGGATAAAGGAGTTGTACAAGGAGAAGGAGCAGAACCTGCGGGTTTTCTCGATCGAGGAGCTGAAGCAGGCGACGAATGGGTTCAATCGGCTGTTGAAGATTGGGGAAGGTGGGTTTGGGAGCGTTTACAAAGGGACTGTAGCTGTGACTAGTAGTAGTTCTAATGGTGGCGGGATTGGGAGTGATCGCTTGCCTGTGGCCATTAAGAGGCTTAACAAACATGGTTTGCAGGTGAATTTCGCTTCGTATTGTCTCACTTGTTCTATTTCCCTAGTTAATTGCTATGTTTTTATACACTCCATTGATCTGACCAACTTGAAAGTTAAGGTTCTTTACAAGATGTGGATAGTTTCAATTTTGGCATACTCTATTTGTCAAGGAATCTGATTATTGTTCTGTCTCTTCTGTTTGGCCATTTCTGCATTTGTATCCATTGAAAAAGCACTCATTTTGAACTGTTGTTTCTATATTTAGGGTCACAAACAATGGCTTGCAGAGGTCCAGTTTCTAGGAATCGTGAACCATCCTAACCTAGTGAAGCTCTTGGGCTACTGCTCGGTGGACGACGAAAGGGGGATTCAAAGATTGTTGGTCTACGAGTACATGACGAACAAGAGCTTAGAGGATCATCTGTTTAGCAGAGGCTTGCCTGTGTTGCCATGGAGGACAAGGTTGGAGATCATGCTTGGTGCTGCAGAAGGGCTGGCTTACTTACATAGCGGATTGGAAGTGCCGGTTAGAACATTGATGACTTTACACTCTTGTGCTGATGGATGAAGACATTATGATCTGAATTTGTAACGAGATGGGTTTGTGTGTGGATGTGATATCTGCAGGTGATATATAGAGATTTCAAGTGCTCGAATGTGCTGTTGGACGAAGGGTTTAGGCCGAAGTTGTCGGATTTTGGGCTGGCAAGAGAAGGACCAACTGGTGATCGGACTCATGTGTCAACTGGGGTAAGTAGTAGTTTAGAAGAGGTTTTACAAGCTCCTGTCAGTTTGGATATGTTTCAACGATTCGAATTATTGTGAAAAATCGGTAGAGGTCTGAATGGATCGTAAGTTTGATTATGTTGCGTTACAGGTCAAGAGTGATCGAGTCAGTTTGGGGTATAGGTCACTCACTCTAGCTAGATAGGTTCGGGTCAGATCGGGTCAACATTTGCTGCCTCTAAATTGTGAGCAAGTACTCTAAGTTGTTCCCGCATATGGTTGACCCGTAGGAACTTTGTATAGAAGATGAACCGATTCTAGCCTTATCATAGAGTCAACATATCACTCTTACCAAGTTGCCAAATTGTTTATTCATGTCTCATCACTAAACCATGTCATATCTCATGTGAGTCTGCTCTGTGCTGGTATCTGCAGGTGGTCGGCACACATGGCTATGCAGCGCCCGAGTACATCGAGACAGGGCACCTGACTATCCACAGCGACCTGTGGAGCTTCGGCGTAGTGTTGTACGAAATCCTCACGGGCAGACGATCCCTTGAGAGGAACAGGCCGACCGGGGAGCAAAAGCTTCTGGACTGGGTGAAGCAGTACCCAGCCGACGGCAAAAGGTTCAGCATGATCATTGACCCGCGGCTCAGAAATGTCTACTCCATGGCTTCTGCAAGGCGGATCGGGAAGCTGGCTGATCGATGCCTGAACAAGAACGCCAAAGATCGGCCGTCGATGGGTGAGGTTGTGGAAGTGCTGAAGCTTGCGATACAAGATTCTGCCGAGCCTGTTGGCAATGGCCCTGCTGCTAATGGTAGAGTGTGACTGAAACTTGTGCTGTTGTGCAGTGTTGAGCTATTAGTAAAGTGATTCTTCCTAAGAGTAACAGAGGAAGGGTTAAAATATGTTTCTTTTTGGTTTTCTGTGGGGTAACCTTTTTCCTGGATGTGTAAAGATATGATAGGTCATTGAGAAAAAGGGGGAATGTGAAAATCCTTATTATAGTATTCTTTTCGTACATTATTAATCAATAAAGAAAGGTTTTCTTTTGGGGGATCAGTGGAATTGGAAAGTTAGCTCAAGACCAACTTGACGCACATCACACTAAGCAAAGCGATTTCCACCACATCGAACACGTTACACTCTGGATAAAAAATCAAAATCAGGATAAGAAAATCAAAAGAACGACATGTAGTCGAGTAAAAAAAAGGATCATTCAAGGCACAAATTGTGTTATTCTATTACTATTTCGAACTACAAATTGTACGTTAAGATCATTATGAATTATCAACAAACAAAGATCTTCCTCGAGAATGGCTCTAGTGATTATCATATTTATCGGCCTGGTTTATCTTGTCAATGTCCACCTTCGCGTCCCACTTCAAAACAAACCTGTGAAAGGCCACAATCCATACATGATAGAAACCCGCATTTTCATAGTTTGTTTATTCAGATTACTTTTGTCGATTTGTTGTCCTTTGAGAATTATTGGGGCAAATTGGTATTTATTTAATAATTCGGGTAGCGATAGGGAATTTACCATTTTTATATAAACTACTTGTATGTGTTAACCACTAAGCAAGATTAAACCCTAAAGCACTTTCTCTAATTCCCTCTCCCTCTTCCTTCTCGGCCGAACCTTCCCCTTTCCCCTCACCGCTGCCTCGACAGCCTCTCACTCTCTTCCCCTCTCAATTCCCAAATCCCCCTTTCCACCCATTTTCCCTAAAGACGAGCCCATCACCTCCCTTGGTGATTCGTCTTGATACCAAATCCCTAAATCCCGATAGAACCTAATTCTAGGTTTCTATCATCTGATATCAGAGCCCCGTTCTGATATAAGCAAATCACCAAAGAGCAAGGTCACGTTATGGCGGTGACAAAATCTCAGAAGGTTGCGGAGAATGCCGCGGAGGAGGCGGCCTGGGAGAAGGCGACTGTAACCACCGCGGCGACGGGGCAAGGCAGTAGTGATGAAGGCGGGCCGGCCGCGGGTGCTGCGGCGGTGTAACAAAACCCGCCCAACCCATCGACTCGAGTCCTGGAGTCGGTCCTGGAGTCGGGCGTGAGGGTGGGGAAGGGCCAATTGCGACGGCGGTGATAGGAGAGGCGGCGGCGGTGGTCGAAGCCGCGAAAGGGGCGGCGACGACGATGGTGGCCGCAGGAGCAGGAGGGTCGGCCGCCTCGCCCATCGGGCTAGGGCTAGAGACAGGGCGTGTGGGCCAAGTTCACTTTGGGCCCAATAGTGAGGCGGGCCTGCTTCCGACCCCGACGACCCAAGAGATGGCGGCCCGGCGGGGCAGGGACAAAATGTCGGACTATGACAATGTGGGCCCACTGAACCATGAAGAAGAGGGGAGCCGGGCCTGGGTGCCTAACGGGCTAGGATGGTTGGGCCTAGAACCAACCCAAGAAGAAGATGAGCTTAGTCTGGCGGGCCGGCCAGAGAAGTGGGCCGAGCCCAACCAGAGGGCAGCCGGGTTGGACTAGAGGTGGGCGACCGTCCAGGGCGGGTTCGGGTCGCATTAGACCAGCCGAGTCGGGTGGACCAGAACCGGCTGGACCCAACAGGGTCGAACCGTAATTGAATCGGCTCGGGGCAACCAGAAGCAGGGCGGGCAGAACCAGGGGTTTCCTATGGGCGGTCGCGGATCGTGTAGCGAGGCAGGAGGCTTTCAACCGTCGCGCGTGGGGCCGGACGGACCGGGACGAGTAACCCCGGACTTGAGGAGATGGTATACCAGGCAACCCCGAGGCGAGGAGGGAGCCGAGTATATGAACCGAGGGCCGAGAAATCCGCACAGTGGAAGGTATGTTGGGTATGACCGCTTTAATGATGTGGATGATGACTTGGTTTTCAGAGCTAAGCCTCCTACCATTCAATTTCCGAAATTCAATGGGCAAGAGGATGCAGGGTTGTGGTTGTACGCAGCTGACAGGTGGTTTAAGAACCACCCGACTTGGGAAGAGCGGAAGGCGCACCTAGCGTCTTTCTACCTGGAAGGTGACGCGCTGCACTGGTGGGAATGGTTGGAGAGGTCGTACGCTGCTACGGGGACTTTGATCACGTGGCCGATATTCCAGGAGGAACTTCGTTATTAGTTCAGCAAATCAGAGGGATGGGTCCCCGAGCAGCTAGCTAAGTTGAGGCAGACCGGAACGGTGGCGGAGTATCGGTCGGAATTTCTCAAGCTGGGGAATCAGTGCAAAGGGGTTCCAAAAGAAACACTAGTGGGCCTATATCTGGCTGGCCTAAAGCCGGAGATCGCGGCAGCTGTCCGGGTGTTTGAACCCGACTCTGTAAGAACTGCTTTCCGTTATGCAGGTCACAAGGAGGAAGAACTTGCTAGCTGGAGAAGCGTAATCGGCCGTTACCAGAGGCCGAGCGGAGGGGGAAGCAGCAGCGCCGCGGGCAGTGGGGGAGGTAACGTGGCCGCGGGAGCGGGAACCGGAGTTGCAAGAGGGAATCAACCACCACCGGCGGCGACAGGTCCAAGACCGGGTCCTCGCCCTCCACCGAAGGGCTTCGTCAGGCTGACACCCGCTGAGATTGAGCAGAAGCGCCGGGAGGGCAAGTGCTTCAACTGCAATGAGCGGTTCACCTACGGTCACTAGTGTGCGAGGCCAGATGTGATGATGCTGGTGGGACGATGGGAGGATGAAGCAGAGGACGAGGCGATGGAGGCCTTGGAAGAGAAGCAGTGAGCTCAAGTCAACCTTGAGGTCAAGGTTGTTTCCAAGGAGGCGGGGATGATAGAAACCCGCATTTTCATAGTTTGTTTATTCGGATTACTTTTGTCGGTTTGTTTTCCTTTGAGAATTATTGGGGAAAATTGGGAGTTATTTAATAATTCGGGTAGCGGTAGGGAATTTTCCATTTTTATATAAACTACTTGTACGTGGGAATTAACCACTAAGTAAGATTAAACCCTTAAGCACTTTCTCTAATTCCCTCTCCCTCTTCCTTCTCGGCCGAACCTTCCCCTTTCCCCTCACTGCTGCCTCGGCAACCCCTCACTCTCTTCCCCTCTCAATTCTCAAATCCCCCTTTCCAACCATTTTCCCCAGAGACGAGCCCATCAGCTCCCTTGGTGATTCGTCTTGATCCCAAATCCCTAAATCCCGATAGAACCTAATTCTAGGTTTCTATCAATACACCACTAGATGGCTTTGCGGAGGACTAATAGCTCTACTATTGCTGGGTCATCAATATTATCGATATAAACTTCCCTAGTCAAGACAATCGACCCACTCTGATCTTTTATAACCATTCCTCCTGCTGAGTGTGATCCATTCCTTGTTATACCGTCCCACAGACAAGTGAACAAGACAGGGTTTGAAGCATTTGAACTCTCAATCTAGGGATAAGTTGAGGTCACTCTGCCAGTTGGTAAACCAGTCCATTCCGAAAATCAGTTGTTCACAAGAGAGGACATGCAAGATAAATTTAGCTATCATAGATTTTGATCATTTACAAGTCTCAATTTTCTATTACTCTTGTTTAATTTGTTGGTTAAATACACTTGTATATCCAAAACTTTTACGGTTGTGCCAATAATATCCAAATTTCCCGTAATACCACTTATATCCAATTCCTTCACATTCTTTAACGGTGTTTTTGGATATACAAGTGTATTTAGCCAAAAATATATTGGGAAATGGATAGATTTGCAAAGAACAACTTTAAAACATGGATATAAGTGGTATTTCGGGAAATTTGTATATTATTGGCACAACCGTGAAATTTTTGAATATACAAGTGTATTAAACCTAATTTGTTTGATAGAGAAAGAAAATCTTTACATCAACATATGATTACATGACGTAAGCTTGTCACATGATTAAAAAATATAATAATATAATGATTGAGTTATCGTTTATTTCTCTTTCATATTCGATCAATTATCATGTATTACTCCTGTCTAATGGTTAGATAAATGGTTCAAAATATGATACAACCATGTAGTACCGAAATCATGCATTAGATAAATGTTTCAAAATATAATACAACCATACAGTACCGAAATCATGCAGTAACATATAAAAATTATGGGAGCTGATCCAGTCAGTAACCATGGATAACCCAATTACCATCTGCCAAATCAGCGCCCCTTCTTTTTGCTGTAAAGCCTTTAATTTCCCACTTAATATTTAACAGACGATTTCTCACTCGTTTTAAGTAGGAATTTATTTTTTTGTACAGTTAGATCATATTAATTGTGCTTCTCAAAATGATAATAACAAAAATATTGAAACATTTTTTACTAGTCTATACCATATGGTATTAACTGGTATTGAAATAAGAGCATACCATATGGTATAAAGTGTTATTTACGACTTTCAACATTGTGTACCATAAGATACCACCCCGTACCAGGGTGATATTGTGTGGTATTTTTTGGTCCTGTATTTTGTTGACCCAGAAATTTGTAGGTCCAATGGATCATGATGAACTCGTTCATTCTGTGCAAAAATTTTCAAAAACAACTTAAAAGTGAAGAAAATAACATATGGTATGCGGTTGGTAACGAGAGAAAAAAAATTCTAAAAAAATATTAAAAATGGATCTCATTATATACAACACAACGAACTCGTTCCATCCGTGCAAAAAAAAAAAATCCGAGTTAAAACAAAGAAGATATGAGCTGATTTAGAAAACAAAGAAAAATAAAAATGTCTTAATTCTCCACCTTTAAATCTGAATTTTCTGTGTACACTTAAAATAAATGATCCAAATTTAGTTACTGATTATTACATAACCATGGATTATGCACCATATTTGAAGCCATGAGAACCAGATGTGCTTATTCACATATAAACATTTCTATTGACATATGTGGCCAATCAATATGGTATGACGGGATGAGATTAGGTGATAACCTCTTAAGGAGTTAGCACCATGCTAACTAGTTTTTCCACCATTGATTGTAAATTTAATCCGATGGTTAAAATTTAAAAGGGGTTATTTAGTAAAAAATCATACCATTCCTCACAAACCCTAATATATATATATATACGTAATTGGCCGCGTCTCATTCTTTGAAACCGTCTGCCTCCCTCCCATCTCTGTAACTGCAGCCGCTATCTTCTCTCTTCCTCCTCCTCTGATCAAAGGTGTGATCATCACAAACCCTCCACTATCGTTCTCCTCCTCAGACTGGCCGGCATGGTCATCAAAAACAGCAGTTCGTCGATGGCGATGTTGAGGCATGCGGCAACGAGAGAAGAAGAGACATCGATGGCGATGGAGAAGGCAAGCATCGACGATGACTTTGAGAGACCGAGAGCGACACCATGAAGGCCATTCACGCCTTAGATATGCTTTCGCCTCGACAGTGGTGGCCGGTTCCAGGGAGGATTCCGTTCAAATCAGCGGCGGGAGAAATGGCTAACGAGGGTGAGAGGCGCTTGAGAGATGATGAAGAAAGATAGGTCTTGGATTTTTCCCCAGATTTGTAGTACTGGTTTTCAGACATGTGGTAATTGTTTTCAATAGCAATGAAATATAGCAGGAGTAGTAATTTTTCGGTAGCGATTGTATAGTAGCGATTTTGTAGTAGGTTTTTTTCAATAGTGGTTTCCTCTCATCTAATTGTGATTTGTCACTGATTTATGTTAATAAAGTACTAATAGTTTTTCGTATTATTAGTGATTGTATTATTATTACTATATGAAATTCATCAATTACTACTAATCTGAAAATTCTAAATCACTATTGATAACAATTAAATCACTCTGAGAAAATATAAAATCACTACTACAACCACCAAAATCACTGCTAATTTAAGTAGTAGTAATTTTTCAGTACTAATATGTTTACGTAATTACGTCTAAAATTTATATTAAAAAGAAGAGAAATAATTAAACAGGGGACGAGTAAAATACTTTGCTTGCGGGGAGGGGAAGGAATGGGCCTTAGTTGGGTTGGGTTTGTGATATCATGAGGGATGCCCGAATTCAACAAAGATTCTTGTAGGCCTCAACATCGTTATATGGGTACAGGCTCAAAAGGGAAGCTTGGGAATTATGACTACAGATGAAATATTTTTTTCTAATATTTGGATATTGTCCAAACATAATTTATTATGAGTCAAATTAATTTGGATAATTATTTTGGAGATCCATATGCAACATTTTAGTTTAGTCTAAGATGTATAAGGTTGGGAAACGGTGCCGTCTGGTCTAGACCAGATCATATATACGGTTTATGGTCCAGACCACAAACTATACGGTTTGGTCCAGACCACGTCTGTGCGGCCTGGTCCGGATAGACCACACTCAATGAAAAATGAACAATTTATTTAGTCCACCACACAAAAAGTTGAACCAATAACCAAAAAATATTATTTTTTGCCTTAAAACATTAATTCTAACATGCATGAATAATTGTGACACCTAAAGCTTAGTACATAACAAAGATACAAAGTAAAAGCATCTCAACTTGTACCATAACGTCATAAACATAATTTCACATGGAGACACGATTATCTCTACTCTCCAGTGAAATGTGGTTGTGAATGAAGGATGGGACGAAATTTTCAAAATTAAGGTTGAGAATTGAGTGTCGTTGTGAGAGTTGGGAAAGTGGTCGAATGAGCTGTTAACACGTATTGACAAGTCGGTTGGGTCCACGGTTTGGTCTGGTAAATCACGGTCTAGACCAGACCAGACCAAGAGATAAAAACATCAAATAATACAAACCATGGACCAGACCAGACCATACTTAACAGTCTACGGTCTGGACCAAACTGTGCGGTCCGGTTTAGACCATGATTTTTCTAACAGTCTGGTCTATTTTCCCGGCCCTAAAGATGCACTCATGGTAGCTTAAAGAAAATAAATACTCAATTATAATGTAGTTTTTGCCTCATTTTTGTTAATGCAATGAAACAAACAAAAAGGTGAAAACATCAATATTAAAGATGTAACTATAGTGAAAGTCGTTAATGAGATTGTCGAAATTGTATTTTTGCGTATATAATCATCTGTACCCAAATAGACCCATTTGGGTATAATCCAAATTAAACACAATTCAAACCCAATGCAAACCCATAAAATGCATATGGGTTCATTTGGGCCGGTTCAATACCTATATGAGTCATGACAATTGTGTCAAATTACCCAACGAGTGACTCATTTCCATTCCTAATTAGAGACTAGTTACAGTGGCGGATCCAGGAATTCTACATAGGGGCGTCCTCTACAAAAAATAAATTTAATTAAATATTAGAATTAAATTAAATAATTATTAAATATAAAAATATCTGATTAATAAAAGTTACATTAAAAGTTCATCGTGTTTCGTAAAATGGTAAAATACATCTGGTGTTTATAGTACTTAACAAATATCTCTCGACATATCTTATTAGACAAGGGTATCCAGTAATTGGGTTCAATCGTTAAGTTTTGACAAATAAGAATAACATTTTACTATTATATTTGGATCTAAAACAAAATAATTAATGAGTTGTAGTGTAATTGAAAATAGGTTTACTTACAAAGGCAGTGTCCCAAGTTTAAATCGCATAGACTACTACTTAAATATTATTTATCCCAGTATGTAAACTACTACGAAAGATTGGATAATAATTTTCTCAGATTTCATGGGTATCCCACTACCAGTCAAATATTTTTTTGCTTATACGCAAACTGCTATCGGAGGTTGATATCGTGTTTCCAAATTTTAGTGGTGTCCCGGGACACTCCTAAACATGCATGTATCCGCCACTGAATAGTTACGCTCCTTAATTTCACTTTGAGCTAATAAGATTTACCCTTTGTTCACGAAAGAGAGAAAATAGAGGGTGAGGAAAAAATTGGGGGAAAATGAGGATCCAAACATTTTTCTTTGTTCATAAGTTTTGCTACAGTACAAAGGAATGATTATTATAGGGAAAAACTATTTTAGCAGTTGAGCCCCAAATTTGAGGTGAAAACAATTATTATCTCTTATTAAGTCTTTTTTTTTCTTTTTCCCCTCTTTTTTTCTTTAAAAATTGAGCACCACTTTCCCCTCATTATGTCACTCTCTCAAAATTTTCCTTCCCCCAAATTTCTCCCCTCATTATTTCACTCTCTCCAAATTTTCCTTCCCAAAATTGTGCACCACTTTCACAACTTTTGTGAATAGACTATATAGCATAAACTAATGTTCGTTATTCATAATCAGGCCCAAATTAATATTGAGTTGGATCCAAATCCAGAAAATAATATATTCTAAAGGCACGTTCAATTTTATTGAATTTAGATAAGGGTGATATAGGTTTACTTTTGTAATTAGGTATTACTTAAGGGATCGAACCTGAAACCTCCAGGTTCAAAGTTAGTGGTATCACGACTAGACCAAACCCTTGTTCGTTCAATTTTATTGAATTTAGTTTGATTTTGATTTGCTTCCATTATATTTCGGGTTTTGATAGAACTCGAACCACAAAATTTGAGTGGAAAGCACGAATTGATAAATGCAATAATGAATGATTTCTAAGTCGTAACTCGCAAGCAAAGACACTCTTCCAATACTTTGGGTCACAGGAGCACGATAGTAAGAAGTTTGGTGGGCAAAAGATGATCCATCTATACAGATTACAGACTCTTTGGAGAGCTAATAATAACCTGAGATTCAGCTTATCAAATTTCTTGAAGTTGGATATTTTCACTTAGATGATCCCTACCTACAATGCCAATTTTGAAGCGAGGCAATGGGCACGAAAGAATCGTTCATGGCATCAGGGGATCTTGAAAGGAAGATGACATTGGAAAATATCACACCACGTGGAGCTGATTCAGACAGCCAAAATTGGAAAGGAAAATATCAGGTGGGAAAAATATCTGCAGGACAGATATTTTATTGGGGATGCAGATGCGCAAACTATACATTTCACCCCAGATGCAATCTGGTTGCATTTGCATACCACACTCGACGTGGACTCTTTACATTGACACTACACAAATCTTTTCTAGGGGATGCACTTTTCTTGACGTCAGAGGATATTGGAATGTCCATCGGAGACTGCCACACGTCAATATTTTGGAAACGGGTGAGATTAGTCGGTTCGAGCTAACAGTCATGTCGATGACCATCAAGAAATTTTCGTCATAACACCAACAATGAAAGTACTGAATTTGCGAACGCAACGTGTTGGTTTCAATGACCTACAATCGTGCTGCCTCAGCTTGATGATTAGACAATATATACGCATGTTCCATTTACTTTTTACACTTACAAAGGTCACATACGAGGATGATGCAATTGTTACACATCCATAATCATTTACCCTTTTGTTGGACCACTGCCCAATTACGAAAAGTAGGTAATTATCATAAACTGCGGTCAACCTAAGAATATACACAGGAAGATTGATAGTAGTTCCCGCACCTACTTTGGGGACTGTTTATAATTTGTACACTTCAACTCTAAGAAAGACATACCGACAATTTCCTCCATCTGCAATTTAATTAGTAGGATTTCACAAACAACGTAAACCATTTTAGAACCGCGTCGGTCTTCTTTCTATGTGGCGTGGGGAGCGCCTACGTTTCCACAATCACAGATAGACTAGGAGCCATGGAAAATGCTGTCGATCTGACTCTTTTATGTGCTACCTCCCAAATAATACAATGGCAACAAGACAATTACTGATTGATGACCAATTAATTGGGCCAAGTTTGGGAAGAAATGGAAACTAGTTCAAACCGATCATTTGGCCTTGAAGCAATAGCTAATATGCTATTCCTGTACCCATCAAATATGGGGCACTCTCACAGTTACTATTACCACTGAAGTTGTCATCACTAGGCGAGATGGAGATGGAGATGGAGATGGATGATTCTCATTTTCTCATCAAAGTGACAACCGGTAACAATCACCCTTAACAGTCCCACGTGGTAGCAAAAGAAGAGAGATTTGGGGGATCTCAAAACATTCCACGTCCGTCATTTATAGTCGTTGGATGATCGAGCTTTACTTGACAAAATATCCCGACATCATCCAACAATAAAAAAGGAATAGCTCGAAATCGAACAACTCTTGCTGCACGTTTATGACAGTGGGACGATCGAGCAAGGGTTCATCTCGTCATCCGATAACCAGAAAAAGTACAACCTTAAATCCAACGGTCCATGCGTATTCTGCGCAGGGATACTGCGAGGGGCAATCTGGCCATAGCCAGATTGCATTCATGTAGTACACAAACTTATAGGCAACTGAAGCAGGCTGCTGTTGATTCAGTAATTCACCCAGAAAGACATTTTCACTGGAGCACAATAGTAACAGAAATTCAAGGAACATTCAATATAAGAAAAGTGGAAAACATGTGAAGAAATGAACTGCCTAATATTTGGGGATAATTAACAAACAAGCTGTGTCCTAGAAGTACAAGGACAAATACTTCCACCAAACCAGCTAGCAGGAGACTTTATGGATAAGGTTTCCATGTAAGCCACATAAAAATCACGAAAATTGGCAGCCAAGCTATAATAGAGAGCATATGTACTCTTCAGTTCAGTATAAAGCCAAACCAAGTATCATCGACACTGACGAGGCAAGGAAAGAGATTCGTCGGCACTTTTGCCTATCAAACCTGTCCCCACAAAATGCAGCGAACTTTGAATATACTTCCTCTTGGCTAACAATTTTTGGGCAATGGTCGTCTATCACTTACCAACCAGGCAGCAATTTTCACGTCAGTGGTTACAGTGTAACATCATTGCTAAAAATGACTTGCAAGGAATCAGCAATTAGCAATTCAGAATCAAACGAGGAGATTACGCGACAAGATGCGATTTGAAGGGGCGTGTCTGGGTGATGAAGAGTTATGAAGTAGATAAGAAGAAGAGAAGAGGATAACATAAAAGACACGTCATAGTGATCATCAACATGACAAATGCAGTAAAAAGTAAGAATTCACAGCCAATGTCAAAACAGCATCTGAAGTGAAGTGCAATAACGTGGGAAGGAGGGTGACATATAGCATATACATGCGAGCGTCTAGGTTTAAAACTTGGAGTAGACAGACATGGTAAGTATCTAATTCGGCTATTGGTTCCTCTATCGAATATCGATTCGAAAACAATTCCTCAGCACAGGCTGCCCTGCCCATCTACGAGGCTCATTGAACGTCCAAAAGAGAAGACACATTGGTCATGTTTCCTGTTCTTTCCCAATAGCATTCATTCATCATTCGCCTAAATATTAACACTTCTAAGTTCAGGCATACTAATGCTTTGTGTAAACTCACCAAGCAACACAACAATACATACATAGAGAATACATACACAGAGAAGAAGACTTTAGACATCATCAGCAACAACAACTATAGGGAAGACCTTAGAAAAAGCAACACCACACACTTTATGACTTTGAAGGAAACCAAACCCCCCAAGCAATCTTATCCAAAGCCTTATAAACCACAACCATGAAAAGAAAAGAAAAAGGAATTTTTCTGTGGAAATTGGAAGAAAATCATCACGATTAGCAGCCACAGATATTATTAGCAACGAGGTGGCGATGAAAAAGGAAATAACAGACTAATACTGCTATTCTTTGTGGGGTTCAGGAAATTGTGGCGGGAGGACTCTAACATGGGAATTCATTTAAGGGAAGCAATAAAAAAGCGCATATATCCCGTAAATAAGAAGCAACTTGCTCTGTGGGGTTTCCCCACATTGTGGTGCTGAAAAAATCTGCCACGCAAGCTCCAGCACCACTTGCTGTACTGTGTACAGAGACCTCCTCCAGGTTCAATAATTTGATGAGAGGACAAACATGAATCAGCTCAAGGAAAACATGAAGCATAGGATATTCATATATAAACATTTATCACTCAAAACTACTTCACAAGTTGATTATAATCAACAATCTGTAGCATGCACACAATTTCATGGTCGACAGAGCATAAATTGCATCGAAAAATAAACTCCAACAGGTTGATTTAATGATAACGTAGATAAGCAACAAATTAACTACGAATTCGAAGATTGAGACCAAGATAACGTACCCCAAAACTGAAAATCTGGAACCTCAGCTGCCAATTCCTTTACTGTTGATCCAAGTGTCTAATGCTTGCCCTTCCTTCTATATGCAGTTAGTCTGGATAAATTAAAAAGGAATACAAATCTGTTGCAGGTCAGCTTCACTAAATAAATTAAATTGAATTCAGGGGGAGAAAAAATGAAATCCAAACTGGAAATGGAAAGTACATGGAAAAGCAGGGGGGCCGACTAGTTTTGATCTTTTGCACTTTTTCTCCTTCAAACTAGAGCCCACCAGTATTGTCCCACACAAAGTTTGAACTCTGGTTTTCCTTTATAAAAAGAGCACACCCAGGCTCCATTTGTTCCCACAACCCTTCATTCCTTCATCAGAACTCAATACAAAAAAACTGAGAAAGAAAACATGACTCTAACTCTCCGTTCTTCAACATCCTTTATCAATCTAAAGGACACCAAATCGTTCAAAACAGCCGACGAAATCGTCGGCTCAATCTGCTATGCACAGATTAAGCCAACCTTCAGCCTCGTGGCCAAGAGTTCGGTGCAAGCATCGCACGTCTTGGAGCACCACAGCCTCATCAGGGTGGGGAGCTTAGCCGAGAAGTGGGAGAAACTGCACCCATTGTCAGGTCCTCATGATGGCAGCAACAGCTCCAAGGTGCCTGTATTCGTGATGCTCCCACTCGACACGGTGACACATGGGGGGAACCTGAACAAACCACGAGCGATGAACGCCAGCTTAATGGCGTTGAAGAGCGCAGGTGTGGAAGGAGTTATGGTGGACGCATGGTGGGGATTGGTGGAGAAAGATGGACCCCTACGGTACAACTGGGAAGGGTATGCTGAGCTTGTGCAGATGGTGAAACACCATGGCCTGAAGATTCAAGTGGTCATGTCCTTTCATCAGTGCGGAGGAAATGTTGGAGATTCTTGCAGGTAACTAACTTGAGGTTGAAATTGAAGTCGTTTTAGGCAACTTTAATCTTAGTCCTTTCATCCTTGATATGCCTTATCTCTCCAGAAAAGGACCATTGTAGGGTACTAAGACGAATAAATCTAGAATAAGTGAATTTGTTTGTAGTCAAAGAACATATTTTCAACTTAATGTCTAGAACCAGACCAAATTGGTATGGGGGTGTGCATTATCCGGTCCGATCTAGAATCAGACCGAATTGATGCAGAAACATGTCAAATAAAGAAAAAGTAGGGATCAGATTTGGATCCAAAGAGCATTGGATCTGACCCGGTCTGCTCTTTTTCACGTTCTTCATGAGAGTTATGGAATCAAAATAGAAGGAAAAAAAAAAAAGACTTGAATATGAGAACCAAAACCAAACCAATTTATATTTGGATTGGATCCAATTCAGTTTGAATGTCAATTTGGTTAAGTGTGGACCGAGTCCTCGCCCACTCGTTCAATGAGTTGATAACAATTAAAGATTTTAGATGAAGAAAATGAGGCTGAAGGGTAACTAAACTCATTTTTTCTTTTTGCAATGAAATTTTAGCATTCCCCTACCTCCATGGGTGCTTGAAGAGATCAGCAAGAACCCGGACCTTGTCTACACCGACAGATCAGGGCGTAGGAATCCTGAATACATCTCCTTGGGCTGCGACTCTATGGCTGTGCTAAGAGGAAGAACACCAATACAAGTCTACACAGATTTCATGAGAAGCTTCCGCAACAGGTTCAGTGATGACCTGGGAGAAGTTATTGTGGTAAGTTAGAACAAGAAAACACTTTAGGATACTCTGCTCTACTCAGTAAATAAAATATGCCGGCAAATGAAACTAACACTGAAACACAAATAAGACCAATCATGCTATTATTAAACCCCTAAAGTACTTGTGCTAACCAAATTTCTACTGCAGGAAGTTCAAGTGGGAATGGGCCCTTGTGGAGAGCTGAGATACCCAGCATACCCAGAAAGCAATGGCACATGGAGATTCCCAGGAATTGGGGAATTCCAATGTTATGACAAGGTAAAGTTTCTGCAACTTCCAACTCATCTGAATAATCCCTATACTAACTGCATTTATCAGTGATGACTGTGGTGCTCAAGTAGTAAGCATAAAGCTAAGAAATTTTAACATTCCTCTAAACAACTTTTCTATGTACTACAGTATATGAGAGCTTCACTCAAAGCATCAGCTCAAGAAGCAGGAAACCAGGACTGGGGGCAAGGCGGCCCCCATGATTCTGGCCAGTACAATCAATTCCCTGACGATACTGGGTTCTTCAGGCGGGAAGGGACATGGAACACAGAATATGGCCGGTTCTTTCTAGAGTGGTACTCTTCAAAGCTACTACAACACGGCAACAGCCTCCTAGCGGCCGCAGAAGGGATATTCAAAGGAACCGGAGCAAAGCTATCAGGAAAAGTTGCAGGAATCCATTGGCATTACAAAACAAGGTCTCATGCAGCAGAGCTCACAGCAGGATACTACAACACTAGACACCACGACGGTTACCAACCAATAGCACAAATGTTCAGCAAGCACGGAGTTGTGTTCAACTTCACATGCATGGAAATGAGAGACGGCGAGCAGCCTGAAAATGCAAACTGCTCGCCAGAAGGATTAGTCCAGCAAGTGAAGATTGCAACCAAGGCAGCTGGCATAGAACTTGCTGGTGAGAATGCACTGGAGAGGTATGATGCAGCTGCATACAGACAAGTTTTGGCTACCAGTACATCAGCATCAGGCAGTGGGTTGAGTGCTTTCACTTACCTGAGATTGAATAAGAGGTTGTTCGAAGAAGGAAACTGGCGGCACTTGGTGGAATTTGTAAGAAGCATGTCAGAAGGAGGCAGGAATAGGAGGAGATTGGCAGAGTCCGATACAAAGAGGAGCGATCTCTACATTGGTTTGATCACGGAGAAGAATGTCAGGAAATCGAAGGAAATTCTACTTGTATAAGCCACGTAGCTTAGCTTATTAGTGTACAAAATAAAGATTTATGATGACTTGTACACCATAATACTCCTGCCATGTTTTGCCAACTTTATGACTGGAAAATATGAGACAATCAGGAATGTATAAATGTTCTTCTCATAATACTGTTTCTTCATCCCTCTAAATTTAAATCAGTGAGTAGCATTGCAGATAAAATGGTTCACTCAGTTTTCAAGCAATTAAACCACTAAACTTCCCTAAATTTTTAAAGTTCTCATCATCATTATCATCATCATCATCAATTTTTCACCAATGCTAGTAAACAACAAGCTTAAACGTTGTCCAACCAAATTGGAGATCCAATGCTAATTATACACATTCAAGAACTATTTTAAGACATTGAAGATCCCAAACAACTGCATTGTAAATAAAGCATCTGAAATGAGCTATTGTGTGAATGAGGATGGCAGATATCCGAGCCAACTAAGTTTGAAATTTAGGGCCAACATGATCAACCCCCTAATTCACCTAAAAAGGAACATCGCACACCCAAAATGGAACCTCATACTTGTACAGTTGTACTTAGGAAGTCAATGGATTATGCCTTTCCTAATATTTTCCGATAGTATGTATCATTCACCTAAATGTTAACATTTAGGTTAAGGCATACTAATGCTGTAAGATTCACCAAGCAACACAAAAATCTAAAAGGAGAGGGTCAATTTATGCGAAAACACGACTTTTACTTTGATACACTAAATTTACTATACCCTTATCAAAGCAAACAACGATACTCACATAAAATACTTTTCATCGTTCATCCCATGTAAAACTTGAAAGTCAAATACAAATATATATAAAAAATATCCCAAAACCCTTGAAAACCCACAACTGCCACTCCACTGCCCAAGTCCTAAACTCGTTATTGTAACAGTTATGATCTTAACCTGCTTCCCCATCCAAAACAATGGCGGTTTAATAACACGTTGTTGAAACGAACTAATCACCAATTAAATGTCCCCGGAAAATGCTTCCCCATCCTCATGCAAAACCATCTGCCGAGTCCCCTATTACGATAACTATAACATAACGACACTATAATACAATAAACAGCTTGGGAGATGGACGGTGATGGTCAGGATTATGAGAGTGGTGGGCGGTGCAGTGCAGTGCCGTATCAAAAGGGAAGACCTCGGAAAAGCAACACCACACAGCTTTCAGACTTGCGAAGAAAACCAACCGCCCAACAAGTTTTCTTATCGCAATGGCTGATGAATTGAATACCGCCCATGTGTCCTTCAGCGGGTGGTGTTACTAGCAGTCATAGAATACTGCTATATTTGTGGGGTTGAGGAAATTTAGGCGCCAGGGACGCAATGAAAAAAGCGCATATGACCCCCTAAAAACTAAATTAGAAGCAAACTTGCTCTGTGGGGTTGGTTTTTTCCCCGCATTCTGGTGATGAAAAGATCAGCAACCCCTCCAGGGGTTAAATTAAAATTTAAATGAGAGGGCAGACATGAATATCTTAAGCAAAACATAAAGTACCATTGACCAATTTTCATATATACAGATCTATCACTCAAAACTACTTGATAACTATTCCATTAGTTAGAAGTAGAAAGGCTATTTACCAAAGTAACAGGCACAAATTTTCTTAGTCCACTATGCATGCATAAATTGTATTGTAAAACAAATTCCAATGAGTTGATCTAATGATAATGGAGTTAAACTCCACAAGACCATAATCACGTACCTCAAAATTGATAATCTGGCAACTCAGCATCCAATGCATCATTGCCTACATGGTTCCAAAGAGGAATGATGGTTTCACCCATACCCACCCAACCCTATCCACCCTGACCAGTTAATGTTAGAACTAAGAACCCAAGTCCAACTTAAATGGATGTATAAGAAATAAATAACCACATTCATTTAATTTTTAACCTGAAAGTCTCAAAGTTAATCTTTAAGTAACATATAACAATAAAATCAAATCTATATCATCACCCTGATTAATAAAAAAATTAACCAATAGATGTGTTTTTCTACCCAAAGTCCCAAACCCATTCAATGTGCACCTTTTACTAAGTGGTATCTCATGTTTACATTTTTTTCACATATAGGTCTAAAAACTTTTGATGAAATATGTACAATTTAGCATCTGAAAATTTCTTTTCTTACATTATGACATCTAAACCTTTTAAACTTTACAAACAAATCCAAAATACCGAGAGAAAAAAATGAGTCGACCCACTACCCGTACCTCAAATCCATATATCCAGCTTAAATCCGAAAACCCAAAATAGTAAATACATATCTTATTCATTCGTTTCTCCCTACTTCACCCATCACACTACTGTTTCCTCTCTTCTTCCACCACCTGGCATCACATACCGACTTACATGTGCATGAACCGCCATGGAAGGAAAGGAAACATCCAGAGCCACCATAATAGTCACGGTCCCCCATTGTTAACTGACCATAACGCGTGGCTCTTCTAATTTTCTATTTTTTTGTTTAATCTTATATCTCAATAATGAAGTGGTAGTTGACGGTTCATATCTTTCTGCTCGCTGGTAAATGCCATCCCTATTTCAATTCACGGTGAAAAGAAGAAAATCCAAACTGTAAATCACATGGGAAAGTAAGCTAGTTTTCATCTCTTGCACGTTTTCTCCTTCAAAGTACGAGCCCCACCAATCTTGTCCCTATGCAAATTTGAAACCCCCCTGTTTTCCCTTTATAATAAGAAAGCCAACCCACCGTCCTTCATTCCCTCCATTTTCATCCCCACACACAATCCTTCATTCATTCCCCTCATTCACCAGTTGATACAACAAACACACTGAAAAAAGAAAGAAGAAGAAGAAGAAGAAGAAGCAAACATGGCTCTGAACACTCCTTCTGTGATCAACCTAAAGGAACCCAAATCCCCTAGAAAAGCAACCGACGACATCATCGGCTCAATCAGCTATCCACAGATCAAACCCACCCTGAGCCCCAGAGCAGCCAAGGGTCCGGCTCTAGCAGCAGACCTCTTGGAGCAGCACAACAGCCTAGCAACAAGGGACTACTTTCTGGAAGAGAGCAGAGGCGCGAAGTGGGCGGAGAAGCTGCACCCGTTATCAGGTCCTCACGATGACGGGAGCAGCTCCAAGGTGCCTGTATTTGTGATGCTCCCACTCGACACGGTGACACAAGGGGGGAAACTACACAAGCCCCGCGCGATGAACGCCAGCTTGATGGCGTTGAAGAGCGCAGGGGTGGAAGGGGTGATGGTGGACGCATGGTGGGGGTTGGTGGAGAAAGATGGACCCCTACGGTACAACTGGGAAGGCTATGCTGAGCTTGTGGAGATGGCGAAGCGCCATGGTCTGAAGATTCAGATGGTCATGTCGTTCCATCAGTGCGGTGGAAATGTTGGGGATTCTTGCAGGTAGGTACTAAATAAAGCTTAAAGAAGAGCTTCAATCGTTTTAGGGGAATTTTAATCTTAGTACTCTCATCCTTGATATGCCTATCCATGCAACTATACAGAAATAAATCCCTTTCTCTAGCATGCTTGAGCAGTTGGTTTGTTGTTATAAGCCTATAGAGTATATGAACTAATACTCTTGTGTCTAGCATACACTGCATGATTCGGGCAAAACGGAAGTGGAAAAGAGAACGAGAATCGGATTCAGAGAGCATCTAATCCGATTCAGTTCGCCTTTCTCCCCCTGATCTTTACCAAGATCCACGGAATCGAACCAAACAAAAAAAAAATCGTATTGAATTTGAGATGAACTGAAACCAAATAGAATTGTATTTGGTCCAGCTCAATTACATCCAATTGGTTCGTGGCATGCAGACCAATTCATGAGTTGATAGGTGATAACAATTAGGAAGATCATGAATTGATGAAGATGAGGCGGAAGAGTAACTAAACTAACCTTCTCTTTTTCCCTTTTGGAAATGGAATTTCAGCATTCCTCTGCCTCCATGGGTGCTTGAAGAGATCAGCAAGGACCCGGACCTTGTTTACACCGACAGATCAGGGCGTAGGAATCCTGAGTACATTTCCTTGGGCTGCGACTCGATGCCTGTGCTAAGAGGAAGAACACCAATACAAGTCTACTCAGATTTCATGAGGAGCTTCCGCGACAGATTCAGTGATGACCTTGGAGATGTTATAGTGGTAAGTTAGAAAGAGAATACCCTTTTAGGATACCCTGTTCTATTCAATAAAGATAATGTGCAGGCAAATGAAACTGAATTTGATAACATAAACAAGACACCACTTAGAACACTCTTCAGAAACACGAATTAAACAGCATTCATATCTTCACAACATTTTTGTTGATGCAAATTTCTACTGCAGGAAGTTCAAGTAGGAATGGGCCCTTGTGGAGAACTGAGATACCCATCATACCCAGAAGGCAATGGCGCATGGAGATTCCCAGGAATTGGGGAATTCCAATGTTATGACAAGGTAAAATTTATCCAACTTCCAACTCTGAATAATGAATAATCCCTATATCAAATGCATGTACCAGTAACGAATTTGGTGCTCAAGTAGTAATCATAAAACTAAGAGGTTTTAACACTCCCCTAAACATTTTTCTATGTAATACAGTATATGAGGGCATCACTCAGAGCAGCTGCTGAAGAAGCAGGAAATCCGGACTGGGGGATAGACGGCCCCCAGGATTCCGGGGAGTACAATCAATTTCCTGAAGATACCGGGTTCTTCAGGAGGGAAGGGACATGGAACACAGAATATGGGCAGTTCTTCCTAGAATGGTACTCTTCAATTCTACTACAGCATGGTGAAAACATCTTAGAAGCGGCAGAAGGGATATTCCGAGGAACTGGGGCAAAGCTGTCAGGAAAAGTTGCAGGAATCCATTGGCATTACAAAACGAGGTCTCACGCAGCAGAACTCACAGCAGGATACTACAACACCAGAAACCGCGATGGTTACCTACCGATAGCACAAATGTTCGCCAAGCATGGAGTTGTGCTCAACTTCACATGCATGGAAATGAGAGATGGGGAGCAGCCTGAAAATGCAGGCTGCTCGCCGGAAGGATTAGTCCAGCAAGTGAAGATGGCAACACAGGCAGCCGGCACTGAACTTGCCGGTGAGAATGCATTGGAGAGGTATGATCCAGCAGCATATGGACAGGTTTTGGCAACTAGTACATCAGCATCAGGCAGTGGATTGAGCGCATTCACTTACCTGAGGTTGAACAAGAGGCTGTTTGAAGATGAAAACTGGCGGCACATGGTGGAGTTCGTAAGAAACATGTCAGAAGGAGGCAAGAATAGGGAACTAGCAGAGTCTGACACCCAGAGGAGTGATCTTTACATCGGGTTCGTGAAGGAGAAGAACATCGAGAAAACAAAGGAGATTCTCCTCGTGTAAACCATGTAGCTTAGCTTTAGTGAAAAACGAATGGTTACTTGTACACCAAAATACCACTCCCATGCTTTTCCATACTTGAACTGGGAAAGATGAGACAATCAGGAATGTATAATAAATGTGTTTACCATAATGCTATATATTCATCCTTCTAAGCTGAACAGTAGCCCAACAGATACAATGGTTCTAGCATCATTCATATATAAGAAGAAAAAAAACTTAGTTCTAGCATCGATTTTTCCACGAACGACAACAGTAACTGGTTTCACAAATGATAAGTTCCATTGCCTTGTAACTTGAAATTCTCATATTTATTTAAATACTAATTTCGATTTCATTCTTTTGGGTTTTGTCTCTCATTTAGTATCAGTTTTATGCATGTCTTTCTTGTCTAAAGCAGACCCATTAACATGAAACTGAGCAATTACGTCACCTGGAGTTGGAACTGGAAGGCACACAATTACTCATTATTTAGAAACTTGAGAGACTTTTGAGTGCTAATTTAACCTTGTAGATCTGAACAAAGGAGAACTCATACAAACTATCTCCATAATGGCCCGGCTCAAGAAATCGGGATTAGAATTTGTACTGACGGGTGAATTCAAGTTTCTAGCAGTAAAATATGAAATCTCCTATTAGAATAACTAACCTAGCAAATCAGTAAAATTGTATACTTTACAACTGAAGCCTCCATATTTTCGTTTAATATTCAGATACCACCATCACTGGACCCCATTACGTTCAATCACAATACACTGCTTTGTGCTACGCTTGTTCCTTCTCCAGTAACATCATTATCATCCATCAAAAGATTAGCTTTTTAGATTACCATACCAAACGCTGTAAAATTCACCTAGCAACGCATACAGAGAAGACTCCAACACCAGCAGAAGAGAACACCTGACTCACAACAGCCACATCACACGCTTCCCACATAGTACAGTTCTTAACTTATTATCCAAAGGCTCTGAAACCACAACCATGGAAAGAAAAGGTGTCCTCAAAATAAATAAAAGCCTATCAGCCGTAGAATTTATCACAGACGAGGAAGCAACATAATAGAACGAGAAACAATATTGTCTTTGTGGGGTTCAGGAAACTGCCCCCGACATGGACATTCATTTAACTAGGTTACCGACATGGAACCTTTTTTTTTTTTTTTTTGGGGTGAGAGATATGGTACTTCTTTCAAACCTATGTTCCAAAGCAAGCAGGTGGAAAGAGAGGGAGGGGAATATTCCCACTTTTCTCACCCTAGAAATTCTTCAGTAATTCGGCAAATATTGGATGCAAATCCACACTGTTCAAGTACAGGGTTTGGCAACCAATGAACCGATTATATACTTGGATTGAACTAGACTGGCCTGAACATGATTCGATTCCGTTCGATTCTCAAACTCAAGATTTTTACTAGTTTTAATTCCATGAATTCTCTAAAACACAAAGGAAAAGGGACCAGACTGAATCCAATGTGCTTTCACTGGCATTATAGTCCTTGTTTCCCTTTATTATCGATCTAAGTTCGATCCAGGACTGGACTACACAATAGACATCCCATCTTGGGGTGAAAGACGTAGTCTTCTTTTCTTGTGCTCTGTAAGCTTTATCTACCTATCAAAGTAAGAAGGGGGATTCAATAACACAATGGTTAAAACAAGCTAATCACCCATCTAATGACACTTGACAAGCTACTTAGTATTTTGCCAAATTTATTTAGAGCACTAATATTTCTTCATGCAAAGAATATCCTTGTCCACAGAAGAACTCTCCACTCTTTCACAGCTGTTAGCATGATAATTATGCAGGATTGCTAGCTCCAAGTCAACTTCACTGAAGTGAAATTCTTAAGGTGAATACTGAACGGCCGACGCGGTTGGATGGTTCAAATGTTTCCTCCTTTCAAACTAGAGCCCACCAATGCTTTTCTTTTCTTAGAAGAGAAGATTTTATTGGAAGATATTGGTTTTGCACAAGAAATGGAGCCCCAAAAGATCCCACAAACAGCAAGCATAAGTATCTCCTAAAGATGGCAAAAACTAGAGCCCACCAATCTTGTACTACTCAAAGTATGAGAGCCTAGTTTTCCTCTATAAGAAGAGTACACCCACCCTCCATTCATTCCCACAATCCTTCATTTCCCTCCCACAACTGAAAAGAAACATGGCACTATTACTACGCTCTTCAACATCCTTCATCAATCAAACCAAGACCAGATCCCTCAAAGCACCCAACAACATCGCAGGCTCGATCTGCTATGCAGATATTAAGCCTACACGAAGCCTGAGGGCCAAGAGTTCGATGCAAGCAACGCAGCTCTGGGAAGAACACAGCCTAGAGAAGTTGGAGCAACTGCATCCATCAACAAGGCCTCATGACAGCAACGGCTCCAAGGTGCCCGTATTTGTGATGCTCCCACTCGACACCGTGACACTCGAGGGGCATCTGAACAGACCTCGAGCGATGAAGGCCAGCTTAATGGCCTTAAAGAAAGGAGGAGTCGAAGGGGTGATGGTGGACGCATGGTGGGGTTTGGTGGAGAAAAATGAACCTCTAATGTACAACTGGGAAGGATATGCTGAACTTGTGCAGATGGTGAAACAGCATGGGCTAAAGATTCAAGTGGTTATGTCCTTTCATCAGTGTGGAGGAAACGTCGGAGATTCTTGCAGGTAACTAACTTCAGGTTGAAAGTCAGTAGAGGTTACCCTATAGATTTCCATCCTTTCGTATACTATGCTTTATATCTAGAACAGGAATATCCCACCTATAAAGGCTACTGATACAAATGAATCTTCTCCCTAGATTACTTAAATATCTTGTCAGAAAAATGAACTTCTCTCAGTTAATTCAGGTTTTGTTCTTCTAAGATGAGTTTTCTTACTTGATGTCTAGCGTAATGTTAACATGTTGGTTAGCAGGTTGTTAACAGTCAGAAAGATTGTAATTCAGGAAAATAAGAGTGACGAGTAACTAACTTCCATTTTTCTCTATTTGCAACGAAATTTTAGCATTCCCCTACCTCCTTGGGTGCTTGAAGAGATAAGCAGGAACCCGGACCTTGTCTACACCGACAGAGCAGGCCGCAGGAATCCCGAGTACATCTCCTTGGGATGTGACTCCTTGGCTGTGTTAAGGGGTAGAACACCAATACAAGTCTACACAGATTACATGAGAAGCTTCCGCAACAGATTCAGAAATGACATTGGAGGAGTTATTGTGGTAAGTTAAAACGAGAAAGCACTTTCTATACATTTAAGAGAAGATGCTGCCCCTTTAGTCAATAGTTATTTTCCCTAATCTGTTCCCTAACAAAATTTCTACTGCAGGAAATCCAAGTAGGAATGGGCCCGTGTGGAGAGCTGAGATACCCAGCATATCCAGAAAGCAACGGCACATGGAAGTTTCCGGGAATAGGGGAATTTCAATGCTACGACAAGGTAAATTTATGCAAACTATGAACTTACTGAAGCTTCTGTCCAGCAAATTCCACCGCCCATTTATCAACTGCCTGCAACCGTTATGAATGCGGCACCCAAGTAGGAATCTAAGACTGAGATTTAACAGACCACTAAACAATTTTCTACCTTCTACAGTATATGCGAGCCTCACTGAAAGCATCAGCTGAAGAACTAGGAAACCAGGCCTGGGGGCAGGATGGACCCCATGATTCTGGCGGCTACAATCAATTTCCTGAAGATACCGAGTTCTTCAGGAGGGACGGGACATGGAACTCAGAATATGGGCAGTTCTTCCTAGAGTGGTACTCTGACAAGCTACTACAGCATGGAGACAACATCCTGGCAGCTGCTGAAGTGATATTCAAAGGAACTGGAGCAAAACTATCAGGAAAAGTTGCTGGAATCCATTGGCATTACAGAACAAGGTCTCACGCAGCCGAACTTACAGCAGGATACTACAATACCAGAAACCATGACGGTTACCAACTAATAGCACAAATGTTCAGCAAACATGGAGTTGCACTCAACTTCACATGCATGGAAATGAGAGATGGTGAGCAGCCAGAAAATGCAAACTGCTCTCCAGAAGGATTAGTCCACCAAGTAAAGATGGCAACAAAGGCAGCAGGCACAGAGCTTGCCGGTGAGAATGCATTGGAGAGGTATGATCAAGCTGCATTTGGACAAGTTTTGGCAACGGGTACAGCGGCAGCAGGCAGTGGATTGAGTGCATTTACTTACCTAAGATTGAATAAGAGGTTGTTCGAAGAAGACAACTGGCGCCACATGGTGGAGTTCGTAAAAGGCATGTCTGAAGGTGGCCGGATCAGGCGATTGCCGGAGTCTGACACCCTAAGAAGTGACCTCTACATTGGTCTTGTCAAGGACAGGAGTCTCAGGAGAACGAAGGAGATTCTCCTTGTATAATTGGTCCATTTTCTGTGTCCCAATTCCCAAAACCGTGTAGCTTACCTTAGTCTATAGAAATAAAAACTATGATACTTGTACAATCATGTACTCCTGGCATGTTTATCCAGACTTTGAATGAAATGATGAGACAAGCAGGATACTAATATAACTCCTTATCAACTGATGTTCATCAGTCTATGCTAAAGCTAGAGCATTCTCACAAACAATTCTGGCAGACTCGATGCTGAACTCAATTCTTAAGTAACTCAGCCACCAAAACTTCCCTATATCTCGAGAAGTTCTCAATGCCATAGATTTCCCCACAATCAGACAAGAAGCTAATTCATCCACAAACCGAGTTCTCTAACTTGAGATATTATCAATGGAAGTTTTACTACTTTCTATATGTCATAGAGAGCAAGCGGAAGCGTACCAGTTCCGAACATGGAGGAGAATGAAGCGGGCTGCGGAGGAGGAACCATTGCTAGCGGAGATTCTCGATCCAGTAGCAAAGCTATATGCGAGCTGATCCTAGTCACCGTCGATGTTCCCAGCACTGCCATCAGACAATAGGCTAATTCAGCCAGGAAAAAGGAAATCAGTAGCTCCGATACTTTCTGTAAGCGTGCGGAAACGTACAGATCAAAAATTCTGAGGAGGACCGGAGGAGGAGGAATCGCCGCCGCGGCGTAGTTCGTCGATCAAGTTGCCTAGCTCTTTGCGGGCCGATTCTCTTCCGAACATGAAACCCGTACCTGGAGAACAAATTTGATTGATTCAACACAGCAGAAGCGCGGCAAAGAAGAAGCAAACGAAGGTTTGAGATATTCTTACCAGAAAGAAATGGCGGAGAAGACTCCTGCGGTGGCAACAGTTTGAACCAGAGTGAGGGGTTTCCCCATTCCCGCCCTCTCCTCTTTACGCTTCCTTCTTGGCTTCGGGATCTGCTCCGTGGAGAACCAGATGAATCCACGGTGGCGGTGAGTTTCAATTTTTTTCGTTTTAAATATAGACTAGCTTTCTTCCGGCCGTTGGCCGGGCCCTTTACTTTTTATTATTAACTAGGATTCAGCCCGCGCTCCGCTGCGGGATACTATTTCTGTCATAATTTAAATGGGATTTAATATAATCTATAACCATAATCGTTATGTTCTAAATATAGACATAAATGTTGTCATAAACATAAAAACTGCGGTCATTATGCAAAAGATTGACTGGGTTTGCAGAATAAACATGAATGTTGTTAGGAGTGTGGCCAAGTTTTCCACGATGTATCTACTAAATTAATAAAAGTTCCATGGCGGAGACTGAAGATTCGGAAAACAGCAGGACAAAATGTTTTCAGAAGTTTCGTGCCTTTGTGGTTTGCACGATATCAAAATGGCAAGCTTCGAAGAACAACATCATTTCTCGAATGCTGATCGATCCCACAGGGTGAGCACTGTCGCTTTTGGTTGCATGTCTGAATCACTGTCCCCCACTTTTTTTTCCATGCGACGGTCAATTCCGCAGCAAATTTTTTGTTACAGTTCTTTGCGATCAATTCGATGATTTGGTCCTTCTTCAGAAACTGATAATATGACGGTGACTTACGAATAAGCGACAGAGCTGCTTCATGCTTAAACACCACATCTATTTCAGATCCTCCTTGGCGACATTTCCCTTCCAGTTTGTATGTGAGTCTTGCAATAAAGATCTTTTTGTTAGGTTTATACAAAGAGTATTATTATGCCATGTGTAAACGTGGGAGAATGGTCAAAAGCTTACCCTGTGTTCTCTCCACGAATTTTGCAGATGCTTTTTCTGTATATAAACCTTGGAATGTTAATCAATGTCATGTAAGTACCTGTTGCAAAAACTGTCAAATGTATTATACAGGTAAACAGATGGAAATATACAGCTGATGTCAATGCTGGTGTTTGTTCGTTTACCTCTGTGAAATCTGACAGGTCCTCCATCCTTTCTTTTATCTCTCTCAACGATTTCTTTTGCAGTTGATTGCTCAGCAGGTGTCCAGTTTTTTTGCAAGTAGCATCATCGATGAAGTAAACTGGTTTGTGACATGCAAGAAAGCTACATGTTGAAAAGAAATGTGTAAGTATCACTAACTCGATAGTAGTTGAACCAATCAGTTGGGTATACCCATATACAGCAACTCACATGTTCATGATATCCTTGCAGCAGTCCTGATAAGAATGGATGATGAGCTTACTTGCAATTGTGGATCGAAATTCATGCTGATACTTACTGTTATGTCTAGGAGTTACTCTACTAACTGATTTGATTGTCACAATCAATGGTAACTTTGCCTCAATTGCTGGAGCATGCTTTTGAAAATCATCAATGTCATGGCCACTGTATTCAACATAAGCCTTTGCCCCACTGATTGCAAAGCAATGTGTTAACTATACATTTTTACAAAGTAAAAAAAAGTGTGCAATCCTAAGAGCATACCAGACATCTTGTATGACCAGGTCGAATTTCTGAATCCTTCCTTTAATTGTTTCTGGATGAGTTAGTCTTCTAACACATCCTGTAACATCTACAGATTTAATGTTTGTTATGCTTTGTTTAATGGTGTTCTTAATCATGGATAGAGAGACATATATATTTACCTGAATGGCAGACAAAGTCTTCTGATGTTTGAGGCACAATGGAAAAATCGGCTGCTGTGTATGATCCTGTTGGGAATTGCTGGGGTCCATTTCCTTCTTCAATATGCCTCCTAATTTGATCTGCAGTGAGGAGCAGGCGGAACTCTCGATGGACAACGCGTTGCACTGACCTTGCTGGACCGCTACAATATCTTGTAGTTCATGCAGGCAGCCAACCTTGATTTTCTTAAAAACCTCATCTGCATCTTCTTCTTCAACCTGAGCTTCGATCAACTTGTTCTGTAAAGTCAATGGTAGATAGATATGTTGTCAAGAGTTTTTGATCTTTTAGCATTCGCCAGTAGGTTAATTGATGTGTAGGGTTTGTATATTGGCAAGTTCTTTTGTCTTAACACTGAATCAAATGCTCTGACGAATATTTATGAATATGGTTGGGGTATCTGGAGTCAAACCTTTTTGTCAAGCCAGAGCATGTGATGTGTCCTTTTCTTCCATGTGGATAAAGGCACTTCTCGGAACTCAGTCCATGTAACGACATGTCTAGCTATAACGGTTCGATTGTTTGTTCCCAAACGCAGTCCCCGAAAGCACATGCTTGAATCAATGGACTCTGCAACGCGATTAAAGACGAATCGATAAATAATAAATGGAAAAAACTCGCATAGGAATCGAGATGCGTTTGTTGGATTTCTTTCCAGATTCAATGTATTTACCTTTCAGTTCGTTCGGGTCCATTTTGTGTGGGTCCACGGAATCTCACGTATCAGTTGTACTATACAACTGTAAATCTGTTGGGTAGAAGAAAGCTTCCAGTTCTTCGAGACCCTGGTTTCCCTTTTTTTTTGTATCTTGACTGCGCGGCCGATTCTAGAAGGCATAAAAAACAATCGGTAGTTTATGTAAGCCAGGGTTAACTTAGGGTAAGTCCTTTTTGGATCGATTGTTTGGGCCTTGATATCGTGTTTGGGCTCTGTATGATATGCAATGGGTTCTAACTGTTGAATCAGGCCTTTTTACAGAAAAGGCTACAATACGCTCCTGCGATCATTGTTCTGTCAAGTTGTATCAGTTGGGCTCATCGATTTTCTTTCTAAGTTCTCTCTGGATAGTCCGAACCGATGTTAACTGATCAAAACTCATGACTGCTTTCTAGCTTTGAGTTTCGAAATAAAAAACACAAAACGTGTCTCTTGTTAAGAACAACGCAAGAACTGGAAGAATAAATTTTTCCAGGCGTAAAATTCAAAAAGTTGGGAGAGTTCATAATAATCACTTCGAGCTTCTTCGATGCTTGCAAAATTAACCAGGTGCAATATCTGTGAAGACTTCTGAATATACAATGTTTCTCGTGTAATTGGCTGGAATGTCCTCTTCATTTTCAATCAAGAATCTCAAACCACCTGCAGATCTTACTCTTGATGCTGCCACATAAAGCTGTCCATGACTGAATACTGGTTTAGGCAAATAGACTCCAACCTTGTCCAGAGTTTGACCTTGGCTCTTATTTATAGTCATCCCATAACATAAACGTACTGGGAATTGCCTCCTCTTCAGTATAAAGGGCCAGCGTTTGTCTTCTACGTTGAGTACTATTCGTGGTATAACAACCTCTTTTGTGTCAAAAGATCCTCCCATGATGTTTCCAACAATGATATTTTCCCCCAATTTCGTAATCAATATCCTCGTACCGTTGCATAGGCCGTTTGGTGGGCTCAAATTTCTCAGCAACATGATTGGAGTGTGAACCTTAAGTCTTATTTCATGATCTGGAACACCATTGAACTGAAGAGCATTCAAAAATTCTGTTGGGTAAGTTTCAGCAAATAGCTGAGGTACCTCTGTATCAAGTTGCATAGAGTCTGAACTGTAGTAGCAACGGCAATGTCCAGGAATTTTTTGCAACATGAAGTCATTCACTTCAGTCACAACTGCATTAGTAGGAGTAACGATTGCCCTTCCACTTAGGTAATATGTGCTCATGTGTTGTTCCTCAAATGCGTCATATATGTCATTTGTGATTGACTCGATTGGATTTTTTCCAGCATATATCAAGAGTATTTGTGGTATCTCAATCCAATCTGAAGGTGTGTTCGCCATAAAGGATTTTGTTGGAAGCCTTCCATCTCCCAGCGCCAGAATCCACTCACCAAAGTTCATTCCACAACCGACCAGGTTTCTATTATCTTGTGAATCATTAAGCCTCATGTTCCTTGACAGTTTGAGCACCTTAAAAAAGGGCCACAATGATGACCTCGTGATGGATCCATCAACTGTTTGTTCCCTTCCTGAATCTGAAATTACTGGTAGAGTCTGTCTAAAATCACCACCAAAGACTACTGTTTTTCCTCCAAACAACTTGTGTTTTGGACCTGATAGTGGTATGTCCATCAAATCACAAAACGTTCTGCTTATAGCCTCAAATGCATTTCAATGTGTCATCGGTGCTTCGTCCCAAATAATCAATGAAGCTGCACGTATTAGCTCAGCTAAATGAGTACCTTTCTTTATGGAACATGTAGATGCATGGTCTATATGAAGGGGAATTTTGAACCTTGAATGAGCAGTTGTGCCGTTTGGTAGTAGTGTGGCTGCTATTCCAGATGAGGCAACAACTATAGCAATTCTGGAAAGACTTTTTAATTTTGCAATGATTGCATTGTAGAGAAAAGTCTTGCCTGTTCCTCCATGGCCATATAGGAAAAATGAAGTGCCAAGGTTGTTGTTGATAGAGAGAATAATGAGTGTGAAAGCCTCTAGCTGTTTTGTGTTCAGTTTGCTAACCATAGTATTTACCAGTAACCTTTGTTGATCATCATCAAAGTTAAGATGCTCATTAATCAGGGGATTTGATCTATCGTCAGGTTCTGAATCTGTCGGTCTTGGGAGATGTAATTGCTGAAGTGAAGAACCATAAGTCCTCAGTAAAGTTTCCAGCTGATGTAACACCCAATTCTTAAGTCTCTCATCTGAAGGCTGGAAAGTTTTTGAGTGCAGCTGTTTACGAAGAGAATAAACATGATCTTCACTCATTAACCTCCATGAAGATTTAAATAGAGCATTAGGATCAGGTATTTCGCAGAACATCAGCATTGAAACAAATGTAGTCCGTATTATGTGTGGCATACTTGATGCTGCAATTTCTTGTAATACCTGAATCCATTCTAAAGAGTCCGACAGAAGCCCCAACTTTTGACATGCTCTTTCGTAAGTACTACAAACCTCCCCTTGTATTGTTCTTAAATTGAGGAAGCTAGTTGCTCCTCTTACTTTGGTCAATAGCAGCCTAAGAAAGAATATAGCATCACTTCCTGGAGGAACATAAGCTATCCTTCCTATTGCGAAACCTCTTTTCCTTGGAGTCCATTCACTGTATTCTTCATTCCATGTAAAGGAATTTGGTATTTGAGCATATGTAAGCTTTCTTGCATTGCAATCATGTCTGTTAAGTTCAAACCATGAAGTAAGATGAGTTTTACCTGCCCTTGGATTTTGCAAAACATTTTGGATATTTGACCTTCTCTTGTATGAAACATTTTGTTGTCCATCCATGTGTACACCAAGTCGAACCACATTAGGCTCTCTGTTGTGTATAGAATACTCGTTGATTCTCCATATAGCTTCGTATGAGGACAGCGACCTGCAATCAATGAACTCTTGTATCTCGTCTTTGTTTTTTTTTTGTTATATTTGATGGTACCTGAACTGAGCTTGTCAAGTCTTCTGCAACAATAAGAGATCTATCTGGTCCTTTAGTAATGTACTTAAATAAGTACTTCACTAACCCTCCCTTGTGACATATCTCCACATTAATATGGGCTTGAGCTCTAACCAATAAGTTCCGATTGTATGGAACGACATATCTATTATCCAGCATTGCCTTTCCTTTTTGAACCTGAATGCCTGAATTTCTTCTTCTGTACACGACATTGCCAAACTTGTCGAACGAATTTTCTGAACAGAATTCTTTTGGAAAATACTTCGAACATTTACCATCTTTCATACATGGTGAAGTGGGGTTGTTAACACCACAAGGTCCATGAATCATGAACTTAACCACTGCAGCA